CGTTCTTATTCCCATTGCATTAATAAAGAATTAAAACTCGGGCATAGGAAATGTTCCCAGAGCAGGACAGTGGTAGCCCGAGGGTCTACTCAGTCAAAAATCCACATTCTTTGGTCTCTGTTGCCTCAGTGACGGGAGTACCTGGAGCAGGAGAGGAGATGGGACAGCATTAAGGTGCCGGCCATAGACACAGCTGGCCTGCTTTGACCCCTGGCACCACATGGTCCCTGAGCATTGCCACTGCGTGTGGTCTTGGAATCTTCCCTCCCCAGCACCACCAGTTGAGACCCTGGGCCCCCCAAGTGCCCAGGGAGCATCTGTTTCATCCCCAGCACTGCAGGGTCCTAGTAGTACTGTATACTCAGACCCACGGATTGAACATCAGCTCAGTTGGCTGAGAATTTCTATGCGATGTCCCAGGATCTCCTGAGAACTGATTGGGTGACACCACCCCCTCCCCCGTAAAAAATAAAAGACAGATGCACGTTTTTTTGATTGTTGCTATTTTTCTATTTTGGGCTACCCTTGGCTCCATGCTTGGCAGGGGTGGGGGGGGGGGGTGCTCCATGGTGCTCAGGGAAATTTGGAGTGCCTGCAACCAAACCCACAGCCTCCTACATGCAAAGCCTCTCAGTCTTCAAGCCAGCTCTCTGGGACCACCATGTTTGTTTGTTTGTTTTCCACAAACCACTATCTTTTTTGAGTATCAGAGTGACCTTTTTTTTCCCGTTACTCCAATATTTAGTTATGCATAAAGAACTTCAGTTAATCACCCTGTGTGCATCAAATGAATGCTTACTGCATGCAGGCACAATGCTTTTATTTATTTATTTATTTTTTGGGGGCTTTTTGGCTTTTTGGGTCACACCCAGCGATACTCAGGAATCACACCTGGCAGTGCTGGGGGACCATATGGGATGGCAGGGATCAAACCCAGGTCGGCCACGTGCAAGGCAAATGCCTTACCCGTTGTACTATTGCTCTGGCCCCTATGCTGGGAAGAATATATTAATTATGACTTTAAAAAGATCAGTTTTTGTGGAACTGGAGAGATGGTACAGTGGGTAGGGTGCTTCCTTTTCTGGCACCTGGCCTGAGTTCGAGCCCCAGCATCCCATATGGTCCCCTGAGCACTGCCAGGAGTAACCCCTGAGCATCTCTGGGTGTGACCCAAAAACTTAAAAAAAAAAAAAAAGAGTTCATGAAGAAAAGAAACGTATGAAATAAACCTTTCCAGTACCTAAAGATAATGGCAGAGTTTGAAGTCTTTAATCAGTGAACAATAAACATAAAAGAAATGCCCATTTTGCTGGATGGTTCTTACAGATGAGATGATTGAGTAGGACTTCCAAGGATGTATCGGAGTTTGCCAGTTGGCTGTCTGACCCATGAGTGCCGATTTGGGGTCATGACTACATAACATAGAAACCGTTTATGCAAAACCAGTATTAGATTAAGTAAATCACTACTTAAAAGTAGAAAAAAAATCATTGTCAATTTGCAGGAATGTTGTGTTCTTTTACACCTTTTAATAATTAGCTTTGTGCTCAGATATAATTAAAACCCTGTGACAAATTCAGAGCACTAGAAGGGAAGTGCTTTTTTTGCTGGCATGAGTTTTCTGAAATATTCTGCAAAATTACCAGCTATTAGCATTCTTTCTCTCTTGTCGTATCTGATTTTTTGGTGTTGAACACAGTGAAGTAGAAAAGATGGAACAAATCTGTGAGCTGATGCAGCTGTTACTTTGTTCTTTTAAGTTGTGGTGTCGCTTAATGAAAGGACACATACCTGTGATAAGTAAAAGTAAAGTAAAGTAAAGGCCCTCCCGTTGATCGTCGATTTTCTCGAGCGGGCCCAGTAACGTCTCCATTGGAGACTTTGTTGTTACTGTGTCTGGCATATCGAATACTCTCGGTAGCTTGCCGGGCTCTCCGAGAGGGGCGGAGGAATCGAACTCGGGTCGGCCATGTTGGCCACTTGTAAGGCGAACGCCCTACCGCTGTGCTATTGCTCCAACAAATTTATATGGGATATGTGTGTTTCAAAGTCTTTAAGGACCAGGACGATAGCTCACAGGGCTGCTTGAGCTTTGCATCTGGAGCCTGAATTTGATCCCAACACCACATGATCCCCTGAGCATGATTGGGGGTTGAGGTCACATCCAAGCACTGTAGGTGTGGCCCCAGACCACATCCCCTCCAAAACTCCGAGCTCCTCAGGAGAAGCTCTGACTTTGGAGAAAAGCTTTAAATTTCATCGATGACTGTTTTCTAGCTACGCATTGTTCCTTACACACAAAACTCTATGTTAATATAGTAATGGGTAGTTCCTGATGAGACTGTTATCAGTATTGTGCTGAATAGCATTATAAAATCATTGTGTTTTATTTGTCTCCTTATTAATTTCTTGCAATAATGTTTCTACCTGTCCCCGAATATTGTTTCTCTCTCCTCTCTGTCTCTCTCTTTCTCTCTCTCTCTCTCTCTCTCTCTCTCTCTCTCTCTCTCTCTCTCTCTCTCTCTGCTTTTTGGGTCATACCCAGCAATACTCAGGGGTTACTCCTGGCTCCGCATTCAGGGATTACTCCTGGCATTGCTTGGGGGACCATATGGGATGCCAAGGATCGAACCCGGGTCAGCTGCGCACTAGGCAAACGCCGTACCCACTGTACTATGGCTCCAGCCTTGGGTTGTTTCTCTTGGCTTAAGAGTTACTTAGGGCTGGAGCGATAGCACAGCGGGTAGGGCGTTTGCCTTGCACGCAGCCAACATGGCCGACACAGGTTCGATTCCCAGCATCCCATATGGTCCACTGAGCACCGCCAGGAGCAAATTTCTGAGTGCATGAGCCAGAAGTAACCCCTGAGCATCGCCGGGTGTGACCCAAAAAGCAAAAAAAAAAAAAAAGAGTTACTTAAAGGGCAGCAGGAATCTCCCGGGGTCCCGTGTTTTGGTCTAGCCGGGTTGGGCTACCTTTATTTGGAGCCTTATGCAGTAATAACAGAAGGGTGCAAGTTGCATAAACAGTTCTGGAAAATCGGGGATCTCCTTCAAATTAGTAACTGGTCATCTGACAAAGCAAAGGCTGGAAATTTAGGGTTCACTTTTTATTTTTGTTCTTGTTGTGTAAGCTCACACAATAGGGGCACAGCACACACACAGCAGCGGTGGCTCTATCTCTCCTGCCGCCCGCATTCGGTAGTCTCACCCATCTCCCACCCCGGAGAGGTTGATGGCGATGGTCAGGCGGAGGAAGGAACGAGGGCCAGGCTGGTTGATATTAGTCACAGTTTATTCTGATTCTCTCTTCATCAGTCTCTGCTCCCGTCTCCTTCTGTCTCTGCTCCTGTCTCTCTTTGTCTCTTCTTCTTCTTCTTGTCTCTCCTTCCTCCCCCATGCTACTTCATTCTCCTTCTCCATTCCCCTTCATCCTCCTTCTCTGGAGTCTGGGTTCTGATCTCTCTCCCCCCCCCAGCCCACTCCTACAGTCTAGTTATATGTCCCTCCAAGAGGAATTGGGGGAACAATTACACATAGGTGTGGTCACAATCAATAGGGGTAGAACTCTTAGCCTCAGGGAAAGCCGCTCCTAGGACAGATCCTCATTATCAGATCAATCCACCCTAGAGCAGATTCCCATGAGTGTGTCTCTCCTCTCCTTGTCCAAGCATATAAGAATATAATATAAATCATTTTGTATGGATACAGTAAGAAATATCTTAAACTTATAGAATTGCTCTCCTAGGGCCATCTTGATCTCAGACTACGGTGCTCAGGCCAGATAGTCTTTCCCACCCCTAGCAGGATCCTAGTCTTGTCGTTACCTTTGGATCATGACAGCATTTGTCTATGATCAAACTCTTACCTTATAGTTAAGAATCGTGGCACTTTGGCCTGGCCCATTTCGCTGCCAGGGTAGCTCACCTCTTGCCCTGGGTCCATTCAGTCCCTCGTCGGGACCCTGCTTTTGGGGTGTTAGGAACTAAGGGCAACTGAGGCTTAAGTCAAGAAAGCAGATGCCCGGGAGTGAATAATATTCAAGGCCAATCAAACCCTAAGTTACAAAGCATAATGTTAACGGTCTTCCTGTATCTATACAAAAAGGATATTACTTTAAGGTAAACTATTCATAAGGCATAAGGAGAGGAGAAAGGCAATATTTCACTCATACATATAAAATCATAGACTTCTGGGAAACTGATCTTACAAATTAACAAAGTCTGATTAAGGGGAAAGCTGATTAACTGGGTGGGAAGGAGAGCATAGGGAAGACTGTATACAGATAAACACAATGGAAGTGGAAGTGCTTCAGGAGCACTGTGATGGGTGTAACCAGATTGATGGGTGTAACCAGATAAACCTAAGCTCCTTGTACTCCAACACTTGTAGTCCTTTACTGGGACTTTATAGTAATGGTCCTGGCAGGGGCGTCTCACGACTCTGTTGGGGGCTGCGTACTTAATAATAAACAGATGTCATATGACAGTTGCATGCAGCCCCGTGTGGATTTATTTGCTTCACTTTCAGGCTACCGGTCACTGTCACTGTCCTCCCGTTGTTCATCGAATTTGCTCGAGCGGGCCCAGTAATGTCTCCATTTTGAGACTTGTTGTTACTGTGTTTGGCATATCGAATACATCACAGGGAGCTTGTCAGGCTCTGCTGTGCCGGCGAGATACTCTCAGTAGCTTACCGGGCGCTCCGAGAGGGGCGGAGGAATCGAACTCGGGTCGGCCATGCTGGCTGCGTGCAAGGCAAACACCCTACCTGCTGTGCTAGTGCTCCAGCCCTCAGGCTACCTAGTCCCTCATAAAGGCGTATTATTCTGAATTCGGTAGTCCAGTCTCTATGAAACCATCTGTCCTCTACGCAGCCTCCTTCCAAAATAGGTCACCTTCATGTCTTGCCCATTAGTTCAACGTGTTTAAAAGGAAGTGCTTTCTCTCGTGTCTGTGAATGCCAGTGAAAGAAAGAAAAAAAAATATATTTCGTTTTTAGATTATATAAATGGTGGAGAACTTTTTACGCATCTTTCTCAGAGAGAGCGTTTCGCGGAGGACGAGGCGCAGATCTACGTGGGAGAGACGGTGCTGGCCTTGGAGCACCTGCACAAGGTAAGGCCGTGCCCTTGGGGCTCCTGGGTGTGACGTTCCATGTCCCCCTGCCCAGCCCCGGCCCCGCAGAGCCACTGACTGTCCATCGTCTTGGTTTCTGTGTTCCCTTTTGAAAGACAAATCTCCCGTCCTTTGCTGCCCGTGGGCCAAGTTTGGGTGAAGGGGCTCTGTTCCTGTAGAGCCCTGGGGGCTTATTTAAGAGCGGTACTACAAATAAACACTCTTCTTTCTGAAGATGAAACCCCCAAGTGGAAGTAACTTTTTAAAGTACCTAAAATATGTAGGAATATTGAACACGGTAAATCACCGTGAACGGTTTCATAAAAAAATAAAAAAAAAATTGAAATTTAAAAAAATTAAGTAAATCACTCAAGGTGAGAGACTGAGTTCATCATGTCGACCAAGACCATCCATGGTAACTCACAGTTCCAGAAGGCCGAATTTAAATGTTGGACGTGGGAGTCTCCCGGTGGACTGTTCCACAACAAAATTGACCACATCATATTCAATCATCGGTTTTGCCTGACCAATGTCGCTGTTGTCCCAAAATTCAAAATAATAATAATAAAGTACCTAAAATAGGTGACTTGCCCTATTGGAAAAACTGCCTGTACACCCTCAAGGGCCCAGTCCCTGGTGAGGTGGGAGAATTTGAGCTATTTGGAACAAGCGCCCCCACCCCCATCCCAACCTCCTGCTCTGCCTTTGTTTCCCCCTGGCTGTGGTCTCAGATGCTCTCTCGCTCCGTCTCCAACCCACCTCCCATTGCTTCCAAGTAGCCTAAACAGTGGCTCTGCATTTCAGGTGGAATTTACATCTCTTATATTGTTTGAACACTAGATTATAAAATTAGTTTAAACTTTCAACATCGTGGGCATTACAGCAGGCAAGGCACTTGACCTTTCACGCAGCTGACCCGAGTTTGATCCTGGCACCACATGTGGTCCCCCAAGCCCCACCAGGAATGGTCCCTGAGCACAGAGCCTGGAGAAAGCCCTGAGCACCGCTGGGAGTGGCCTGGGTGAAGCAGCCCGAGAACATGTATCATTAAATCAACTTTCAGCACATTGGTGCTGGTGCGGCCACCCAAGGCTCACAATTAGATGTGGCTTAATTAGCTCAACTTGCGATATTGGCATCAATTTGTGTGTTTTTTTTTAAATAACCATTTTTATATATTTTCATCTTGGTCCAAGCAATTTTGGCTTAAATTTTTCTTTTCACTTAATGAGGAGCCATTACGTGGGAGTATTCATTATGACGGCTAGGTTTGCGGGCATTCCCTCCGAAATAGAAGCACAAGTCAGGTAACTTAAAGTGGTGTGTACGATGCTAAGGGGCCTGCCCAGAGGCAGGAATGTAGAGGGATGCCAGAGATTCAGATTGAAGCCGTTGTGCTTTGTCATGTGTAAAGACCTTCCCCTGGATCACAGAAAAAAGCAGATTAATGTGCTTATCTTGGAGTTTTCAAAAGAGGAGAGAAATAGGGGCCAGGAAGAAGGAAGAAGGGTGGGATTTCCCAGGCGGCCAGGAGATGGGATTGCAGGATGGAGGCAGTGGAGAGGAGATGTAAGGCAAGATGATGAGAGATGAAGGGGTAGGGGGAGGCGTAGATCTGACCCAGGATAGAAGTGAGACAGGGCACTGCAGAGTGATGGGCTTCGGCATGGGAGCAAAGTGTGTGGTGGTGGCGGGGGTGGATGCAGGTGGCCACTTTGGAGAGAAGGGACCAGAGAAGCAGCTGAGAGGGGGGTCCATTGGGTCAGAGGTCAAGAGTCACAGTTGCTTTTGCTGGGAATGTCAAGGACATGACAGGCTTTAAGCCTGCAGTGACTTTGTGGAGCCTTAGGTAATGACATTATCACACGTAAACTGCATTGTTCCAGGAATGAGCCACGAGGGGCACTGAATTATATGCTGACAACACAGCTAGAAGTGCAGCTTTTGATTTGTATAAAACCTTAATTTGATGATTAAAAGAAAGCCTATGAACATTATTATTTTAAAAAAAGGGGGGGTGTGAGTAATAGAAGTAGAATATAGTGAATTCTGAATATAAAAGGGATGAATACTTAGAAGTGAAAGTAATAGAGCCAATCAGGTTGCAGCTAAGTTTTTCTTAATTTTACAATCCTAAAAGATGAGTACGAAGCCAGAATTTTAATCTTGACGTAGCCTCTACCACTGAGTTTCTCGAGTCAAAAGTTGTAGTTTTTTGGAGTGAAAACTAAAAGTGATGAGCTAAAGTGCACAGTGAATGATTTATGCAGAAATAAAGAGGTCACTGTCACTGTCCTCCCGTTGTTCATCGATTTGCTCGAGTGGGCCCAGTAACGTCTCCATTGTGAGACTTTGTTGTTACTGTATTTGGCATATCGAATACATCACGGGTAGTTTGCCAAGCTTTGCTGTGTGGGCAAGAGATGCTCTCGGTAGCTTGCTGGGCTCTCCGAGAGGGGCGGAGGAATCGAATTTTTTTTTTTTTTTGCAGTGCTTATTCCTAAAAACTGCAAGCCAAATGCCTGCTCTGTCAGAATAGAATTGCTGGCCTCTCTAAAAATGTAAATGCTGTTGTCTTTTTCTCTCTTTCTTGTGGAGCACTGAAATTCCTGGAGGAAAATTACCTAGTGTTCTTCTTTTTAACTTCAATTTCAAAACATTACTAAGAATCTGCTCTCTCAAATAACCAATGCAGTGCTTGGAAGTTCAGAAACATTTGATTAAGAGGTGGGGAGATAATTCAATACATGAGAGTATGTGCTTTGCACGCAAGAGGGCCACGTTTGACCCCCAGAACCACATGGTCCCCCAGCACCGTGGGGAGGGAATCCTGAGCACAGAGCCAGGAGCCCCGGTGTACCACCAGGTGTGGCCCCCGAAACACAGCCAAAAGAAAAGCATCGAAGCTAGCACAGTGCTCTTTAACCTGTTTGTATCTATGGACCAGCACCTGCCCTGCATATCAGTCCACAGAAGTAGCAGCTAAGGAGGTAGACTTTTTCCAACATTTCTTCACCCACAGACCAGCCCAGGGTCTGGGGCCTGGGGAACACACGTATCAAGAGAGCAGAGCATGTGAAATGAGATTTACTCATGTTACCCTAGCGCCTGCAGAATTTCGCTCTGGAACTATTTTTTTAAAATATAGAAGTATTGCTATTTATTCAGCCATTGATTAGGCTGATTGAATTGGGCATGAACTCCACATTACTTTTTTTATTGAATCACCGTGAGATACAGTTACAAAGCTTTCATGTTCGAGATTCAACTGTACAATGATCGAACACCCTTCCCTCCACCAGTGCACACTTTCCACCACCAGTGTCTCCAGTATATCACCCCCACCCCATCCCAGTCCTCACCCTGCCTCCATGGTAGGCAATTTCCCCAGCACTCTCTCTCTACTTTCGGGCTTCTCTATGAAACTTACATGTAAAACAAATGGCAGGATAGATAAGTGTTATCTAATGGAGTCACTTTGTGCATTTAGCACTAAAGAACAACAACAAAAAAATTGTTGAGGCTGGTGAGCTATTCCAAAAAAGTAGAGTGTATGTCCATCCTGAGAAGGACCCCAAGTTTCATCCCTGGCACCATATGGCCTCCTGAGCGTAGGTGGGCATAATCTGGGTGGCCCAGCCCCAGAGACCCAGGCACCTAACTATTAGGGCCAAGTACCACCGGGAGTGGCCCCTGGGTACCCAAGCATTGCTGGGTAGAGCTCCCCAAAAACAGAGAAACTGAAATTACCAAATCACCTTTAACCTTTATACTTACGAGCCTGTTACTAGGAAAGCCTTTTATTTGACAGATTGTGCTGGATGCTAGGTACGTACATAAAAGATTAAACAGAGCTAGGATGTGTTTAAAGCTAGACGAAGTATCTAGTAAGTATGCATTATTTCATTTTAAACTACTAAATATATATCTCATATATATAATATGTATATATGTGAATATCTATTTTGAATTTTTTCTTTGGCCTTTCGGGGGTGGGGGCGTACCCCAGATGTGCTTGGGGGGGTTCTCCTAGCTCTGCTCAGGGGACCGTGTGGTGTCAGGAATCGAACCTGAGCCTTCTGCATGCAAAGCTTACATGCAGCCCACCGATGTCTTGCTCCGACCCTGATTTAAGATGGATAAGACTTTCTTAGTTTACTTTGGGGAAATTACTGTTTTTAAATGCTTATCTGTTTGCTTTTACAGTTGGGGATTATATACCGTGACATTAAGCTTGAGAATATTCTCCTCGATTCTAATGGCCATGTGGTGCTGACCGATTTTGGTCTGAGTAAGGAGTTTGTAGCCGATGAAGTGAGTATTACCTGTTCGTTTAAAGTTAATAATGATTGAATGTAAATACCGATGACCTGCAGAATCTAAGAGCCCACAGAATCAGCACAGCACCAGATGCTATCATATAGATGATGGGTTTGGGTGCAGATTTGCCCAGAGGAAGGTTTTGACATGAATGACTGAAAAGGTTTTTGGTTTAAAATTGTCACATAATTGTCCTATTTGAATTACAGCAAACCTTTGATGGATACATCAGAAGAACCTCCCAGCTTAAAACAAAAGAGTAATTTCCCAATAAAATATAACGAACGCATTTTAGACAGTCGATAATGTGCCCATGTAGTAACTGGTAGAGAAGCATGAAACGAAGCCCCAGTATTTTGCATTGTGTCTGTGGAGTGAGCTGAACAGTGAAGACCCTTTTACTGTATGACAGCAATCACTCTGCACAATTTTCACATGATCTTGCTGGTTTTTTGGTCTGTGAAACTAAAATGTAATGAAGAATGTGCAGATTTTAGATGCGAAGGATTTGCATTTTTAGCCTTGATTAGGACTTCTTTAGTATTAAAATGTATTTAATGATATTTAAAGTTGTGCACCTCCTACTTCTAATTAATGCTCCTTATAAAGCAATTTTAATAATTATATATATTACATTCCTGGTGATTTCAAAATAGCTAGGTTTGAGTGTCAGCTCATTTCTAAGAAATTCTTGGCATAGACCAGAGAGATAGTCCAGGGGTTAAGACACTTCCCTTATGCAGCCAACCACAGCTCAATTCCCCAGCACCACAGACGGTTCCTTGAACATAGAGTAAGTAGTGACCCCTGAGTACATATCAAGGAGAAGCCCCTGAGTGCCATAGCGTGTCACCCCACTTAAAAAAGAAATTATTGTTGTAAAGAATAGAATCTGTAAAAGTGGTAAAGGATTTTGTTCTTCTAGAACACGTCATTTATGTGTTCCAAATCAGGCTTACTGATTTCCGCTTACTTACTGCAGTATAATCAAATCAGTCTCTGGTGACTTGGGTTATCCTGGAAATTATGAAAAGCTAATGGTTCCGATTGCTGTTCCTATCTGTATTTATCCAAGTTGTATTTCAGTCGTTATTTCCTGATCATCTCTACTATGCCAAGTTCCAGGAGAACAGAGTGAAGAGTCCCTTGGAAATAGCCTCTGCCTCTACAAATCTGTGATGGCTATCAGAGTGCAATTATGCAGGAAAACCATTGTAAGAATAGATAATGTTTCAAGAAATTCACTTTAAGCTTTGAAGTCTTTCCCTTCTTTCTCAGTGTATTACTGGAAACTCCCGGAACTTGTCATATGTTCACTGTTGCTTCCTCACTGCATCCCGCTCCACAAATGAGTGAAGGAATGGAATGGGTGGGGACTTCGGGAAAGAGAGGGAAAGAATCAGATTTGTAAGAAAGAAAACAGGAGAAATACTCATTGATTGAACAGTGCCGAAACCACTGAATCCTAAGCCAATGATGTGAGAAGTCCCAAAGAAGGATAATTTGTGCCTCTGGATAGCCCCCATCCCCACAGATAAGACTCAGGAGTTGGGGGATTGTAAGTGTCCTCCAGAATAAGGCTGCAGAGAATGTAGGACCCAGAGGAGGCCAGAGTCTGCATAAGAAACAAGTTCCCAAGATTTTGTCTCTTCCCCGTTTCTACGGCAGCCGGTTGTCTAGACAGAGTGCGTTTGAGGACATCGGGTACAGATTTGGGTGACATTAGTGAAGAGCGGCCTCTGAACTGTGCAGCCCGCAGACTCTCTCCCTGCCACTGAATACTGAGAACTTGGCTTTCGAGATTTTCTCTCTGGGAAGCAGAAAATGAACCAACCATCCCAGGTGCTGTCAGTCCTGTCTTGATCAGTCACATGGCCCAGTCAGGTGTGCCTGCAGGGGGCTTGTCTTTGTGCCCTATTTCAGTAGCTGTGTTTCAAGTAATTGGGTGCCTCTGCCATACTGTGTATTAAAACACATTTTTTTCAGGGCCAAAGGGAGTACAGCAGGAAAGGTGCTTGCCTTGCACACCACTGACCTGGATTCCATTCCTGGCAGTTCACAGGGTCCTCTGGATCCCACCAGGAGTGATTCCTGAGTGCAGAGCCAGGAGTAAGCCCTGAGTAATTGCTGGGCATGACCCCAAAGCAGGAACACAACAAAACAAAACCTGACAGTTTCCTTAGAATGGGGTCTTTGCCCTTCCATGGCCTGGTACTTATAGCATCACCTGCATGAGGACTGGTGGTCACCTTTCCCCTCTCTCTGGAGCCAGTCAGGCACTTGCTCATGCCCCCCCATCACTGTTTCCTGTCAGACTTCAATTGCTAGACAGGAGACCCCCAAGAAGGGGCCTCTGGGAACCCCACGGCTTCCAGACATGTGCAGCTGAGCTTTTGGCATGAGGCAGAAGTAGCAAGTGCTTGACACCGAGACAGGGGTGAACAGGAAGCAAACATGGTCCTGAGTTATTAGGTTTGCCCAGAGTCGTCTGGAACGCTGCTTGATCGTCAGCCAGCTCCCTCTCCTGAGAGAAAGGGGGTAGTCTCTGCTTATCAGGTTAGAAGCTGCCCAGCGAGAGAATAAAGGGGTTCAGAATGACATCAGGGTGTCGTGATTCAGTTACATGAAATACTGGGGTTCAGTCTGACATGGATAAGTCATTGATACTACTGGCCTTGCTGCATTCAGCATAGTTCTGTGGCATTAAGCCACATGTTAACAGTGTTTTCTCATTTCCCCTCTCTCCCCTGCAACTGCCCATTCATCCTCCCCCAGCCCCGAGGATGCGCTGTTGTGCCAGGCTTCCGGCCTGACTTGGGGTGGGATGGGCTCTACTCTCTCCTGAGTTTCCTACACTCTGTCCCGTGAGCCTTGGCTTCCAGTGCCCCCCAGCAATTGCTTGGAACCTGTCCCATCCCTTTCCATCTGAAAAAGGTGCCCCGCGGTCTCTCTTGAGAGTAGATGCCATTCCTTTTTTGTTTGCATACCAGCCCAACTCCCTTCAATCAAAAGTCCCCTCTTTTCTTGGATGAGTTTCTGTCTCCCCATTTCTATTCTGCCTCCTTGGTTTCCAGATAATAGTTGATCTGTCTCTTTCTACCCTCTTTTCTCTTGGGCCTTTTGTTGACATTTAAGAATGCCCAATTTCTCCCCTACAGTCTCAAAGTTTTAAAATTGGACAAGAATTAAGAAGTTGTAGAACACACACACACAGACATACACACACAGGAATACTATGCAGCTCTAAACAAGGACAAAAACATGCAGTTTGTCACTTATGTGAGTGGAACTCTGGAGTATCCTGCTAGGTGAACTCAAAAGGAAAGGGTTAGATACAGAATGGTCTCTCTAATCTGTGGGATTTAAAGACACACAGCAAGGGAGCAACGGATGAGTCAAAGGCAACAAAACTGCTGAATTGGCCCATAGAACTGAATTAATGGGGTGACAGGGATCAGAAAGAGCCTTTGAGACCTTGGTGGAAGGAGTGAGTATGATGGCGGGTGTGATGCTGGAACGATGTTTGCACAGAACTATCATTGACAATATTACAAATCACAGCAACTCAATGCAGATTTCAAAGAATGCTATGGATAGATGGATGCATGGATGGATGTGTGAATCGATATACATAAGAATGAATGGATACATGCATGCTCGTGTGGATGGATGCGTGGATGGTTTGCCAGTGCCCAGTGGATAAACGAAGATAAAAAAGAAAAATCTTCTTGGGCTCCATAGTTGCTTCTGTAAAGGACATTGGTTTGTCCTTTCTCCCTTGCCACAGGGAGCTTAGGTTTATCGGGTTACACCCATCACAGTGCTCCCAAGTCACTCCCTTTCCTCTGTTTATCTGGAAAGTCTTCTCTGTGCTCTCCTCCCCAGTCAGTTAATCACCTTTTCTCCCTAATCAGATTCTGTTAGCTTGTAAGATCAGATCCTTCTAAGGACACTGAACTTGTATTGTAAGTTATGTCTTTTTGCATAGTTTACCTTAAAGCAATATCCTTTCTATATGGACACAGGAAGACAGTTAATATTATTCTTTGTTACTTGGGAGTTGATTGACTCTGAATAACCTTTACTTCTGGGCATCTGCTTTCTTGACTCAGTTGCCCTTAGTTCCTAGCACCCCAAAAACAGCGTCCCAACCAGGGACTGAATGGACCCAGGGAAAGTTGTGAGCTACCCTGGCATTGAAATGGGCCAGGCCAAAGCACCACAATACTCAACTATAAGTTGAGGGCATGGTCATAGACAAATTCTGTCATGATCCAAAGGTAACGATGAGACTAGGACCCTGCTGGAGCTAGGAAGACTAGTCTGGCCTGAGGACTGCAGAATATATAGTGAGATGTCCTCAGGAAGAACTAAACTGTAAGGTTATATCTCTTACTGTGATCATACAGAATGACATTGCTAGAAATATTGGAAGTAGATTTACTACAACTTTTTAAGTAGATTACTAGCTGGGGAAAGAACACACCCTCGTTGGGATCCCACCCTTGAGCAGATCTCCTAATAATCTGGAGTAATCTCTTTAGATGAGATCACTGTATCACTGTCATCCTGTTGTCCATCGATTTCCTTGAGCAGAAACCAGTAACGTCTCCTTCGTCCTAGCTCTGAGATTTTAGAAAGTACCACATTCGAGGCTCTTTTGGGGTCAGGAGAATGAGACCCATCATTGTTACTTGTTGTTGGCATATTGAATACGCCACGGGGAGTTTGCCGAACTCTGCGGTGTGGGCAGGACACTTTTGGTAGCCTGCCAGGTTCTCCAGAGTAAGAACTAGATAAGATGTCACGTAGCTGCAAATGCCTCCTTGGGATCCCACCCTTGAGCAGATCTCCTAATAATCTGGAGTATAATCTGGAGTAATCTCTTTAGATGAGATCACAGTCACGGTCCTCCCATTACTCATCGATTTACTCGAGCGGGCCCAGTAGTGTCTTCATTTTGAGACTTGTTGTTACTGTGTTTGGCATATCAA